CCTGTTTGTGTTTTGTACAGTATGTATATACAAGCGGAAAGATTTACACTTTTGAAAAAGTGCGGTAATGTTTTGTATCGCACTAAAATGTTTTTTACTATTGTAATTAATATGAATGGTATTGTTTTTTATTACAAAGTACTTCTGGAGCATGGATATGTTAATTGATTTTCAATTACTGAAAGAAACCAAATACTTTTTTTAGCAGTCACTTTTGTTTTTTGTAGTAAGGCTCTACAGCATTGCGTTACAGTGAAGTTAAATATTGTGGCCTATTATTATTATTCACTGGTTTCTAAGAAGTGTTTTACTGTAATGGCGATGACACAGATGTCAAAATATTTTTAATGGAGGCTTCTGTTATGTATTTCCTTAATCCGGTATGACTGGGTTACATTACAGAAGTAAACAAATTCTCTGGCAGAATGAAATGTTCCGTATAACTTACACAATACCGACATTCGAGTTTTCCTCATTACCGACTGTGACTAAATGTTTGAAGTTATAAAGGGGCTTTCAGTTTCGTAAATATTTGTCAGCTTTTCAACTCAAACCTTCTAGGTCCAGATGTTGATCAGGGATCTCATAGTGCTGTAAACTTTGTTTGGAAATGACTTCTGAGGAGGCAAGCTGAGACTGGGCTGATGTGTTGTCATTTTGACCTCATGCTGTATGAGGATTTAAAAGGTTCCCTTTATACCATTGTCTTTCCTTTTTCTTTCTTTGTTTTTTTTTAATTTTTAAATATATACTGCCTTTTGGCATGTTGCTTTTTGCACTCTGAAAACTTACCAGCAGTATGTGCTGTTCTTGAAATTATTGTTGAAGTTTCTGTTTCTCTGGAAAATGAAAAGAGCTTTGCTTTGCCGTTTGTTGCATATTGTAACAGTCATTGTCCCAGAGGTGTGTATTCCTCTGCCAGTCTCCAGCTTGGCTGTTGGTGTCCTTTTGAAGTGGCTTTTATTTAGTGTGGCGTTTACGGGGTCATTCTAATGACTTACAGCTTGCCAAAGGGCTCCACTTCTTCAGTCTTCATCTTGTTTGTTCTCTGCAAATCCCAGCAAGAAAACCCGCCAGTAATATTATTAGGTATGCCGAAGCCAAGCCTGTGAGATGTAGTTTTTTTCTCCATTTTAATACCAACACAGTATCATTTTCTATTATCTTTATGATTATCACTTTCACGTTTGGGATGTCCAACCTCCTGTGTGTAATGTGTTCCTTGGTTGACATGCCAACACTCTAGTTGAAATGGTCTTTTGACAAGAGAAAAACTCTTTTGAATGTCTATTCAAAATTGTACTCATAAGACTATTGTCATGCTTTTTAAAATTATTTTTTTTTAGTAGCAGATTTTCACATTATACAGCAAATAAATATGTCTGTGTATGTACTGGGATATAAAACCATGCATCTTAACAAGAAACTACTTCTCTTAAAACATTTAAACACTTGGAACAATGGGCTAAAAAAGTTTTCAAGGAAAAGTACAAAATTCTGTAAGCCAGCTAATAAAAGGAAATTTAGTTTACAGCTTTAAACAAATTACTAGCATTTCTTGTTTGCCATTGCATTGCTTGATAAGCTCCAGCAAAGCAAAGAAACCCATAAAATAATAAAAAGGGTTTACCTGCTGAGATTTAATGTTAGACGGGTCTTTATGGTGGTCAGTAGGTTAGGATTATCACAAACATGGTTTTAACTCTTAATCAGTGTGTTGTCTGAAGTCCTCTGTATGAGTTGTTGCAATACATTGTAGTCATTCATTCACAGGCTGCTTATCTGTCCCTTGAAGACTTGGTGATAATTTGGAGTATAAAAGTAAGCACTAGACACTGCAAGAATAAACTAAAGCAGTTCTGTGATGGTTTTACCACCATCAACCAGGGCATGAGAACTAGATGCACTCTTTTTAAAAGGTGAAAAGCTTAAGGCTTTCATGTGTACCACTTTGTGTGGGATTAGATAGTTCTGAGGTTTAGCCAGAACGCACTATATAGACTGTCAACTTATACCAGTGAAATGCAAAAGAGGTTACAGTTGAAACAACCTGGATTTTTCATTTGCCAATATTAATCGTAGAACCACAGCTATTTTACTTCATAAAATTGTATAAAGCAGCTATGGTAAGGAGAAAATGCCAGTTGTAGTAAAGATGGAAATGGAAGTCAAAGAAAATGACTTTTGCTTATTTATTTGGCTGATGCTTTTATTCAAAGAGACTTAAATTTCTAACCATTTTTGAAGATGTATATTGTACTAGATTGCACATCTCATTGTGTGAATATTGCAATTGCCACATGCCAGTTTTGTGGTGGTGAAAGACCAACAGGAGCTCAACCAGTGTCCAATATTATGTATGTCTGTAGTGAGGAGGTAAAATTGAACCATGTTTCCTCAATCAGCCTTGGAAACTGGGCGAGAATGGTAGAGATCAGTGCCCTCATTCATGCCATGTGACTGAGTTCAGTGGATCAGTAGACTTGGGTAATTGGGTTTGACGGCAAAGGCCATAGACTGATCATCACACTTCTCTTTGGCGAAAATTAGGAGTCTGTGTGTTAAAGTATATAAGGTTAGATTCAGCACAGGACAGAAAGAGCAGTCTCATCTTGGAGGGTGTTTTGTTAAATAACTGAGCTGAAAACCCACTGGTTCTGTTGGTACAATACGTTTATTACATTTTAAAAGGAAAGCTATTAAATCATTCATATTATCATTTTAAAACATTAACTCGTATTTCCGTTGCTAGTTTTTGTTACTCAGGTCAAAACCTGCTGCTTTACAATGGTTGAATGAGACTGTAGGCTTGCTAAACTTCCATCATGTAAACACTCTGATCACAGCTGGAAACTGTCTTTATTAAGTATTTCTATGTTTCTGCTGTCTGTTTATTTAATCGGACAAATAGTTAACTTCCCAAAGGATAAAAATAAATAAACATGTAATTTGCCCTGACAACTAATGCATACACAAACATATACATTAACATGTACTTAACCTCTAAAGAAAAAAGTTTGACAGTCATGTAATGAATCCCTTTTTGCGTATTAGCTGACCTGTAAAAAAAACATACTGCAGTCATAAATAAGACATCATTATTTTAAAAGTTACGGTAGCATATCAATTCAGACATCATCAGTTAAGCATGGCATTTGGCTGATTAAAAGTTTTGAGGGATTGGTGTGTTCTAATGATTTACTTTGTATTAACTTTGATTGAAACAGTATTGACTTCTTCAGAGAAATTTCAAAAAGCATAGTTACTGTACACGTGCAGGTTTTGAAAAAGTACATTCTTATCTCCTAACACCCCTGTGACATTTATACTGTATTTTGATTTTAATCATGTCAGCAAGAGAACATTCACCTTACTAAGTGAAATATTTTGACATTTTCAGTTCTGTTTTGACAAAAAGATTAAAAATAACCATTTGCAAATTGTTAGGTGACATTTCAAATGTGTAATTGTTGTATGTTGGCACTTAAGATATTACTGTCCTGTGTACTTGCCCCTCATTGTAAATTATTAGAGCCCATTCACTGGATGTTTGGACAGATTTGTAACCCTCGGACAGAGTCATAGTAAATGATGACTAGCAGGTCATATGTAAAGCAACAAAGGTTTCTGTTTCTGGATACTGAAAGTTGATGCAGAGCAAAAGTAGAGTGCAGGTCTCAGGATTGCCTTTCGCCCTTGGGACATAAACCTTTTGGGTATGTAACCAGTGTAAACAGGACTAGAGTGAGTTATGAAATCTTGTGATTTTCAGCTAGTGGAATCAAGAACAACTTCTTTGTGACGAAATCGACAGAGCTCTGGTGAAATACCAAAGGTATCTAATCTGGTGGTGTCAATGCAACTTTTACATTCTATTTTTTTCTGTGTGAATTGTTATTGAGTATATTGAATCCAGCTCTTCATATGTAGTAATGCTGGTGTGCTTTTTCTTAAAATTGTATGTTTTTGAAGTTATTGGGATACACACCATTATGCCAGAACAACTTATTTTAACTGCATGCATTGTTGCATATTTTGATAATTTTGAAACTTTTTCAAGGGTTTTTGTTATGGGGATGCATTTGTATTATTATTCCAAACCACATCTTAATAATAATTATTATAAAACCTCTAGGAGTTACACATTTATGAGACTAAAAGGTCTAGCAAGGTCTAGCTTGGCGGACATTAACATCTCTATATTATTCTTAAACGTCCAATGAAATTGAGCAAAATTCAGATCTAAACTGGATAAACTGTACTTTGTTGTTTGGCATAGGATGACACCAACTTCTTAACACTTGAAGACAGTGGATAAAGTAGAATTACTGTTGATATCGCCAAATGGTAACATATGTGCACTCAACATGAAGGTTCCATGGCAAAACTTTCTGGAACAGAGCTCACAGTGCAGATTTAACTTTATTTATTAGAGCATGCTGAAACCATTGAAAGGAATTGGAAGAGATTGGAAGCAAACCTAGCTAAACTTTTCCCTCGCAAGCAGCTTAGGACTGCAGATATTTCAGCAGTGACCTGTGGTTCCAAAATAGAGATCTAACACCCCAAGAATGGATGTCTTGGGCTAAATGAAGATCACTACAAATGTCCAGCAAAGCAGTGTCAGTATCACAACTGAACAAAAACAAAATTAATTTTTCAGTTTGAGAAGAGCACAACAATTGCCCAGTTTTCTACATATCTGATAGAGACTAGTGCACATACATTTGTCTGAAAGTCACTTAACACTTGTGTGATTTACTGTTACTTGCTAATTACGAACTGTTGAGAACAGCCTGTTGCCAAGTATTCTGATGGAAAAAATAATTATGTTTTTATTTTATTTGTGTAATAGTTTTGGTTTACTTTGTGTGGCACTGAGGAAGTTAGCATCTGTTTCAAAGTACTGGCATTGAAAGGCCTGCATAGAGTTGTAGAGTCCAATATTGTGGAGTCCACGATACTGAATGTCTTCCATTGTTTCTTTTCATTTCTTCCAGGAACCTGCACAGCGGAATGAAAATCTATGGCTGTGAGCTCTGTGGAAAGCGTTTCCTCGATAGTTTACGGCTTAGGATGCATTTGCTGTCTCACTCAGGTAACGGGAAGAGTCACTCTGGGTTATGGCTATGGTGATGTTGCTCGGTCCGCCATTGTTTTTGGCTGTTAAGGTCTTAAATATAGAGTAAAAATGTTTCACATTTTCTGACTCCATGTGCTTGAGATAAAATGTTTCTATATTGCAAATCCTAGGTCCTATCCAAATCCTGTGCTGTGAATTCTGAACATACTCTCTGAGACCAGTGTGCTGTAAATGCTTCATTCTGGATTCAATGCAATTGCATGCAGGTTATAAAGTTAAGGATTAGCTGTCAAAGGCTTTAGAGCACCCTTTCAGCCATTAGAAGTAATGTGAAGGAATGGTTGCAAAGAGGAAATGCCTCAAGACTTAAGTTACAGATTTGACTTGGATTGTGCATTCTGATATAGTGTACTTGGTGGTTCCATTCTGCAATCTGATTTCATCAGGTTTTGGAAGTTTAAGCTAGGCTTGACCTAGTCAGTACTGTGATAGGAGACCTCCAAGGAAAAACAAAGGCAATGCTATAATGGTGCTGGTGGACCAGTAGGTGGCACTCTTTCCTCTTGTCTATTTTCAAGTCTAATTCCCCAGTATGGACAGCATTGTCCTTCAGATGTGACATTTAACCAAGTTCTTGATTACTTGATGATTACAGAACCTCTGGCACTGTTCTTGAGAGTAGGCCGTTGTTCTGGCTTAATTCCTCTCTGGGCTTCCACAACCTGCCCATTTTAGAGTTCCCCCTTAATTTAATTGCTGAAGCAATTTATCACTTCAGCACCTGATCCTGCTGTGTAGTTGGTCTGCAGGCACATAATGGCTGCCATTCGTTATTCAGGTGAGTGCAGCACTCCAGTGGTGGGTGAAGTGGTTCTCTTATGTATACAATATGAAGAAAGTAGGGAGCCTTTAGGATGAAAAGTGCAGTATGAAAATAAAAAATCATTCATGAATATTTTTATTCAATTAATGCTAGTGTATTTTTTTCTACAATACAGTGAGTGATATGAGTCATTGTGTGCATTTGAGACTTGTAGCAAATTCAGCTTGCATTACTCATAAGCACTACAAGATTTATGTGTTATTTAGGGGTATAACATTCTTAGCTGTTATTGTAATGATTGTGGTGGAGTGATTAAAAGTGTTTCACACTGTGCTGTTGAATATACGTTTGTAAGATGCAAGGTTTTCAAATCAAAGCTTATTTGAAGTCGTTTGTTTTACGACAGTTTGAGTTTAGAGACGTTTTTGTCCTGACTGTTTTGAGCTTTTGATACATGCAGTTTCTGTAGTAGTCTAAGCAAATATAAAACTGCCAAGGTAAACATGCACCACAAAACGTCAATTGCAGCTAAGCCAACATAAAACAATATACACAAATAAATCAATCTCACGTCCTTTTAGGACATTTACCTTTATTAACAGGCTAAAAAAAATCTTTGTTAACTGATGTTTGAAGTATTAGGGTTGCTTTGCTCACCTTAAGGAACTGCCAGACCCGACAGTATATTCCGGATGTCCACCATGATGGGCCTCTGCCCTTTCAAGGTCATTGTGGTCTTCAGGAAAGAAGAGACATGTTTATTGACATTTATCGAAGGCCTCGGTCAAGCGAGGCCGCTGGGGCTGTGAGGGGACTTTTTTTTGTGCTCAACTAAGACCTGCCAAGAGGATTCTTCACGCAATCAAAGCCAGACCAAGGAATGAGTCACCATGCAGTAAGGAAACCCAACGGGCCAGTGCGTCTTCAGCGTGAGGAAAATGAGACAAGGCCTCGGCAGACTTTCATACAGCTCCCTTAGCATTCTGGTCTTTTGAAATCGATCAGACATAGGTACTGTAGATCAGGAGCCTGACCTGTCTTCATTTAGCTTCTCATCACTCTTTGCAGCCTCAGACAGGTTTGAGGTCAGTCGTGCTCTGGATCTTCTTTGCCATTTTTCATCTTCAGCGTTAGCAGCTGTTTGTTTGAAGAGCGTTTCTTGCGGGGACAGCAATGGTGGGTTGCTCATCAAGATGAAGCGATTTGCACTTATTCAGTTTCAAACCCCATATAAGGTTTGTTCTGTGTTTATTTCTTGTATAGTGTTGGTTGGTTTACACTTTGTTGGTGGCTTAGCTGTGAATAACAGATCAGGATTTGGTGGTATTATCTCGTTTTTAGGATCTGTACTTAATGTAACCATGAAGGATCATTTCCCTCTTCATAGGGGGTACTTGTCGAAGACCTGTGGTTGTTCATTTTGAAAGATTAGCCGACAAAAATTGCTTTGCTTTCAATTTTCTAAATTACTAGATGCACCTTGACTTGTAGTGCTTTATCAAAGGGCTGTGCATAAGAATGCATTTTTCGCAAGTATCAGAAGTATCCAGTTCAGATGATGTAATATATAGAGTTTTACATCTAGCAGCTAGCATACAAATCAGACAGGGAAGTGGTTGATCGTGCTCAACGTTCCAAAGAGGTGCGTTATGAGATCTGACTGTTTCAGGTCCAGCTCTGCACACTGAAGAGCAGAGCAGAAATTGACGTTATCGTTCTCTCTTCACTTTGGCGATATTGCACACTTTCCTTTGTTTCCCCCCTCCGTTCTGTGCTGCTGATATGTTTGATTCTAATCACAGTTTGTAGTTCCAGCAGCATGTTTGCGACTGAGGTACCTCTCCACCTCGCCGCTGAAGAAAGAAAGGCAGAAGGCGAGAGAAGAATGCACTTTGGTATGCAGTGTGTATTGCGGTGTACCATTTCAGTGCTCCTCTCCTCCCCCCCCCCTGCTTCTGCCGGCAGTCACTGTGTTTATTTTATTGTGGAATTGGCAGCTGGCCAGTCTGGGCTGACTGCCAGTGCTATGGGTACAGTATGTACAGTGAGTCTTGCGCCAGTTTTTTTTGCATTGTCTGGGGGTAGAGGTTTTCGTAGCGGGCGGGGGGGGGCCCGTTCACAGGAAGGTGGAGTTAGTACGTGTCTGCTGGTGTAAACAAAAGCATGAAAAAGGGAGCGGATTACCGTTCGGGGTTTGAGTAGACGTTTTCTTTTTCTCCTCGGCTTTGTGAAGAGTGTTGCAGCTGGCAAGCTCAACAGTATAGTAGGTTGATTTCCTTTGGCAATGTACCAGACTGGACTGACTCAGCCCAGGTCTGAATTCTTATTACAGGTAAATCCTCCTGTTGGCTGTAAGGACCCATCAACATAAATTAAGACACACAGCCACCGTGTCGCAATAGTCACACCTGGGTCCTGTGTAGTGACACAACCCAAACTAGTTTCGAAATTCTACAGACAATGCTCATAAATACTGTTTAATGTATTTTATGAACTGTTAAATGTGGATTCACTACTATGGCAAGAAGACAAATGACAAATGAAAGCCAATCGTGAATTGTTTTTCGAAACTAACCAGTTTTTCTGTCATTATAAAACCTTGAGGACAGCTTGGAAAGTGAAAAGTTACTAGAGTACTAGAGGTCTTCTCCTAACAGTTTACCACTCACAATCATATTTTAGTTTCACAGCATAGATGAATGTTTCTAAGGAAATAATCATTTGAAAAGAAGTGAACATACAATGGAGGTTCTCCAGAAACCATCAACTTACTTGAAAAGGCATTTATTTTGCCATGCCAATGCCCTGTATAAACACAAGGCAGCATACAAATCTCAGTTATACTGAGTTACACCGAGTTTGTTTAGTTTTCCGATAATAAACCTGTGGTGAACCAGAAAAGGACAGAATTTTGCCAGTATATTATTCCTAAAACTCAAATAGTGCTATCATATTTTGTCCTCTTAATATTGCTTCCAGAACTCTTTATGAATATCAGAGGGTTGTGCAATGACTACATTTCACAAGAGCTGCTGGTCATTAAAGTAACGTTTTACAGTGAAAACCAGTGCTGCTTCCAGGTGAGAAACATCTCAATTTGGACAGCAAACAAAACATCCGACCAGTCGTTCTTATGTCCCCCCCCGTCACCCATGGAAAAGGCCTGCCCATGGTGTATTGTGCATCGCTTAAGGCAAACAGCGTGGCACAGAAGCCCCCAGTTAAGAATGCTTTCATTAAACATTCTGAGTCAGAGTTCTATCCTGTATGATTAAGTCTGTGAACTGTTTTCAGGAGTAGCAAGGAAATAGACCTTTCTTGGATTCACGAGCTCAGTGGTGAAAGCGCACCTCTGAAGTTGACTGAATCATGTCGTTAAATTTGGGATGTTCCACGCAGGGAGATAGCGGGCAGCACTTTAATCTTCAATATTTAAATGATGGCTTTAAAAACAAATGCTCATGCTTTGAACTGCAAGTTGATCAGCACAGAAATATTTCTCTGTTACCACCATCTTAAATATCAGTTAGTGCTTCTGATCTTCTGATCACTTTTTTTTTAGTACTGTTTTGTTCCATGAAACAGTGTATCTGTAGATGTAGATATAGTTTTTGTAGCTTTGGTGATGTTGCAGACTTTGACAGGTCTCTGTGGGAAAGAGAATTGCCGTGAGCTGTTTCCAGTACTGTGAAAAAGCTCCAAGTTGCACTTTTGTTAGTGATGAAGGGAATGAGTTGTGCAATAAACCAGGCTTACAGTACAAAGACCCTTTGACTCTTTAAGTCAAGTTACATGTAGGCAATAAAATGTTGCTTGTTTCTATGTCAGGAAGGAGTTGTGGATGCCTAATTATGTGTAGCTGACTTTTTAAGGAGTTGTACTTGTATTTGATCCATTTTTTTTCTACACCATCATGCAGTCCTGTAGTCTAGGGAACATCTTACGCATCTATCCCCTGTGCTGTAACTTTAAAAGTACAAACAGTCCTGCCTTTGATCTCGTGCAGCGTTGCTCATTGGTACAAGAACAAAGTCAAAGTACAGCATTCAGATATTGTGTAAGTAAATCGACTTGAATGAATTTCAATCTAAAGTGCTTTCCAAAGTACTCAGCTGTGTACAAGTCTTTTAAGACCCGATTACCCTTATTAGGCCGCAGTTCAGATGTTAACATTTTTTGTCGCAGGGCCCGA